AGCCATGTGACGTGAACTGCTGCTTCCACGTGGACTTGACAGCAGGACATGGACCATGACTAATCCTTAAAAATCAGTTACAGGGAAATCTCCCTGACAGAAGTCTTACGAACATTGCACTTATTTTTGTGTGTCATTTGCTGCTTACATTTTGTCTTCCTTTTCCATGTAAACATTTATCAGTTTGAAGCCCCAGCAAGGTGGATAAAAAGATTTAGACTTTGGTGCTACCAATTCTATCCTCAACAACAAGATGCCCTCTAAACCCATCAAACAGCACCTTGGCTCTTCCCAGGCCTTAGCCCTCTTCTGCTTCCCTTAAAGGCAAAAGTTGGTCTGCAAACAGGACAGAAGCACTCACCCAGATCCCAGATGGGTAGACTAAAAGCTGGGGGGGGCTCCACTAATGCTTAGCTTCACTCAACTTAGACAAAGCAACTTGACCTTTGCTATGCCTCTATTTCCTCTTGTACCATTTCAACTGGCCTCTCAGGAGACAGGCATCCACCTTGTCTCCTGCAGTTACCTAAGCTCCCATTTAGGGTCAGCCTGGTAGTGGGATAACATACAGAGTCTCAGCCACAACTGAGACAACAGCCTCAGGTTTTAACCCTAGCAGCCACATGAGAGTGTGCTCTTAGAATCACCAAATGGTTTGGGTTGGAAAGGACCTTAAGATCATCCAGCTCCAACCCCCTGCCATGGGCAGGGATGCCTCACACTAGACCATGTCACCCAAGGCTCTGTCCAACCTGAACACTGACAGGGATGAAGCATTCACCACTTCTTTGCGCAACCTGTGTCAGGGCCTCTCCACCCTCACAGTACTGAACTTCTTCCTTAGATCTAGCCTGAACTTCCTCTGCCCAGCAACCAGCGCAAGGGCCCTGCCCTGACAGGGCTCCCAGCCACAGCACAACAAACATCTCCCTCTTCTGCACAAGGCACTGGTGACAGCTGTGCTGTGACACCTCCTGCAGTTCACCAAAAGCTGCTTCTGACACAGCCTGCTCTCGCTCCATTCAGCGAGAGTCAGAGCAGCCCAAAGTTAAGTCATAGTACAAGATTTTATTGCTGTCATGATAATTAACGACTACTTACACTGAGCTTTTAATGAGTACCTGCACTTTTTTTTCCGGTTGTTTGTTAACTGGGTCATAAAGACAGAGTCCCAGATGGTTTCCTGCATTTATAGAACAACAGGGACCTCTACAGGCATTTCCCTCTTTGGAGCAAGGCTAATGATAGAAGATGTACGAGCAGCCACACATCACTGCTGATGCCATCAGAGCACTGAGCTGTGCAAGCTGTCAGCAGGTCAAGTTACTCGCCGTTACCTTTGGGCCACCAAAGTGACACCCTGAAACACAAGCAATAACCAGAGCGTTTCCCCTTTTCATTTTTTATGCTCCTGTTCCTGGAGGCTGGATTCAGTTGCTACACTGCCATGAAGCTGTTTCATTCCATGCCAGGAGCTACTGAAACAAGCAGGGCTATCAAAGTCCCTACCTGTAACAGGCTGGAGGGGATTGAATGTAGCCTTCAGGTTAGATCTAAGGAAGAAGTTCCTTACTGTGAGGGTGGTGACGCACTGGAACAGGTTGTCCAAAGAACTAGTACATGCTCCATCCCTGGCAGTGTTGAAGGCCAGGTTGGACAGAGCCTTGGGTGACATGGTCTAGTGTGAGGTGTCCCTGCCCATGGCAGGGGGGTGGAACTGGGTGATCTTAAGGTCCTCTCCAACCCAAATCATTCTACGACTCTATGATTCAAGTTACTTATCTGCAACAGCAAACTGTCTTATTTAATAGGTGTAAATGCTGTCAAAGCCATACAATTTTGCTGCAGGCTATATGTTTTGGGCAGGGGTGTGTGTGTCTGCTTTTTTTGTTGTTTTGGTGGGTTGGTTGGTGTTTTTTTGCTTGAAGCCCAGACGCACTTGCACATAACCAGTTTCACAACCGTTTCTTTGGACACAACCCAGTACTTCCACTCAGACCATATGCAAGGCACACAGGTACCAATCAGTTCTTTTCTTTTTACTGTGCACCAAATGAAGGTGGGCTGCCACAGCACATGGGAAGGACCAGAAACCCTGCTGCATTCTTATGCAAAACATACTCTTGGTTGTAAAGAATAAGAGAAAAGCTCTGAAGGAAAACCCTCTCCTACCTACCTGCCTGCCACCAGGCCTCTAAGACCTCCGAGAGCCTCTGACACTTCTGCAGTGGCTGGTTGGCTATCAGACTAGCTGGTCCCATGCCCTTGCAACTCAGGTTGCTGAATCAGCCATTTGTGATCATGGGCACTGTTAACCAACTGTGCACCCTGTCAAGACAGGCAGGACAAGGACACCATGTAATTCAAATATTAGCCATCAACACACTTCCTTGCACTTCCTTCCAACATTAAAAGCAGTGTTTTGGAAGGACAGTATTCTCTTCCACGGGCTTGCATGTTGCCCTTTTAAACAGACCTTGCTGATACCAGGTAAAGTGCAGGCCACCCACACACTTCAATCCAAAATGGGAGCTGAATCCAGGGGAGGTATTCAAGTCCCATCCAAGCATTAGCAACCAGGTACACTTGCATGGTGGCTGCAGCTGCAGTGTGGTTCCACTGGCCAGGACCATACACAGGGCAAGCACTCTGTCCTTCAGAAAGGCAGGTTCCAGTCTTGAACATCTCTCTCCCTTCACCCTGCCGAGCTGGTGCCCCAACCAAGCTAATGCCTAAAAGTCACACAGAGGGTCTCCTCTTGAAATGACAAGTTTTTGACACATGCAGCTAACAGGAAGCAGAAGCTTACGACTCTGTTAATTATGCCATTACAGAAGGAGTCTGAGCCTGATAAATGAGCCAGGAAAGATGATCCTGATCCTCTGACAGGCCAGTTCTGCAGGAAATTCAGCCCTGTAAGCAGCAGCACACCATCCTAGCCCAGTAGCATCTGTCACTTATCAAGGCAGGGTGCAATGGCTGACTCCACAAAGTGATCTGAGGCAACGCAGACTTCCTCAGCCAGGTCACTGCCTCTAGCAGCAGTGTGATTCACTCCTGTAGTGATGCCTCAAACACAGCTTGGGCCTGAAGAAATGCCTTAAAACTGCAATGACAACACTCTCCTCAACATGGGCTGCAGCCTGTGAACACTGCAAACTGATGGAGAAAGCTGCTGTCTCTGTCAGTGCCATCAGCCTCAGCTGTCTAAGAAGCCGTGGCGCTGAGGAACCCTTTTCTGGAAGCCTCAATACCACTTGGAAAAAGAAAACTAAAATAAAGCAAAGACCTCCTTTTTTCTTCCTATCTCTTCCTATCTTTGTCATTCTGTTGCATTCTCATTCTGCCCTTATCTCATTTTCCATGGCACAGGCTCATCTGGTATTTCATTCCTGAGCTTTTCATGGAATTGCAGAATAGTCAGGGTTGGAAATTATCTGAAGATCATCAAGTTCCAACCCCCTGCCATGGGCAGGGACACCTCACACTAGACCATGTCACCCGAGGCTCTGTCCAACCTGGCCATGAACACTGCCAGGGATGGAGCTTTTATCAGTTCTTTGGCCATCTGGTTCCAGTGCCTCACCACCCTCACAGTAAAGAACTTCTTCCTTATATCTAACTTGCACTTCCTCTGTTTCAGTTTAAACCCATCACCCCTTGTCCTATTGCTATATTTCCTGATGAAAAGTCCCTCTCTGGCTTCCACTAGCAGAAAAACCTCAGCAATCTTTCCCTGGCTGCCCTTCCAAAGCTGCCTTGGACCAGAAAGCAAACTAGAGAGAAAACCAGTATTTCACTATTTAGTCTCCTGCTAAACTGTTGCATTGCATACACCTTCCTTTCCAGTTACATTTAACCAGGCATTAAAACCCACTGAGTCAGTGTGTGTTTCTATAGGTAGTCTTACTGCAATAGGTAAATACTTCTGAAGAAGTACTTGCATACCACACAGGGCACCTGCTTGGCCACTGGTATGTAAAAGGTGTTAAAAAAGTCAGTCAGAAAACACACAAATGGTTACAACCACACAAGACTTCTTTACAATGAGGGTGATAAAACACTGGCCCAGGTTGCCCAGAGAGGTGGTGGATGCACAATCCCTGGATACATCCAAGGCCAGGATGGAGCTGGTTCTGGGCAACCTGACCTAATTAAAGATATCCCTGCTCTTTCCAGGGGGATTGGACTAGATGACCTTTGAAGGTCCCTTCCAACCCAAACTACTCTATGATTTTAAGACCCATTTCTCCCCAGCAGCTTTCTCTGGACAAGTTAAAATCCAGTAGCTCAAACTCCTTCCTTTAAAACTCCTTTAACAACCGTATGTACACCCTGAGCACGCTGTGTTATTGTGTGTGCCTGCTCCAAGACACAGCCTCTGTGCTGCAGAAGGGTTGGTCCTCTAGAAGCGATATGCAACACTTGCAAACGTGCAGGAAGAGACAACTCACTCTGGAGAAAGATTCACTCACATGACAAAAGCTTTGAGGCTCTTCATCCTTTGGTCTATGTAGCTCTAAAATTTTCTCCAAGAATAATGAGAAAGCATCTATTGCCTGTGTTTTCCTGATGACATGCATGTGCCTAGTTGGTATTTCTGTTCAGTGTGTGCAAGGGGTGAAGGAAATTTTTCGTATGTCTGCGTGTGAATACAGAGATTGTAATTGCACTCTCACTCCACACATGACAGAAAACATTAGCGCAACTACTGAAAGCTGACTTGCAAATCAAGAGAAGTTGTCTCACTGGATACTAAGAAAAGGTCAGAAGAATGGAAAGGAGCAAACAATACAGAGATTTGAAGATTTAACTGGAGATGAAGAAAGCAAAGGCCGAGAGCTGGAAAATCAGCTCAGTGCCTCTTATAAAAGGCTCATGTCAATGCGTAGAGGAAAGGACTGGTGCCTCTCTCCATCCAGTTCCTCACCAATCCTTTTTGCGTACGCACATGGCACTAGCTCCACTCCATTGCATGGGGATTCCAATCAAGCAGCATGTGATGTGTTGTTTTATTTATTGGTATCAAATGGAGAACCAAGATGACTCAGCTACTGACCAGATCCCCCTCATAAGCAGCCCACTGAACTTCAGGCCACTCAAGTGCCTTTCAAACCCCAGCCTTTCATACACATTTCAGCATTATCATTGTAGTCTCACAAATACACAGGGTTTTTTTAACACGTGACATGCATCCTGTTGTGAAAATTAACTCACGTTACAAAGAGATTGAGCATTCCAGCAGGGCATCTCAATTTAGGAGCCTGTATCATCCCATACAATCACAAAGTACCTGTCTTTTTCTAACAGATGACTAAGCACAGCAGGTGCATCTACAATATGCAACAGCTGAAATGAACATCTCTTAGACCCATCTCCCAGTTTCATCAGCACTTGGCAAAAACTCCAACTGTCAGTGAGAAGACACAAACAGTCCCAGTCTCAGAACCAATTTTCTTCCTTTGTCCTCAAAAAAAAAATCTCGTTAGCTTTGCAATTCTTCGTAGACAAGACTCGGAAAATTAAGCATCTTATGGGTAATCTCTTTGTCCAGGGTTGAAGAAAATCCCCATTTGTTTCTTATTTGAGTGGTCACATTGTGCCCATAGTGTGAGAACAGAAGGAAGAGAATCTGTTTCCTGGGCAAAGCCATACTGAAATTAAACAACAACATTAAAGCTTCTCTACCAGCTGAAGTCTTGTGCTGAAATCAGCGTGCAGCAAAGTTATGTTCTGCCTGAAGATGTGATGAACTGCTACATGATGTTAGGAAACAGTAAAGTTCTTTGCTATGAGCACCCTCAATAATCCATTTTGACAAGGATGCCCAAATCCTCTGCTTGTGAAAACAGTAAGAACTTGCCATGCCCAGAGGTGTCATGACATGATTTTCTCAAAAGTGCTTAATCTTTATTCCTAAATTGAAGTGAGCTTTTGAGAACCATCCATTTTGCTCAGTCCGAAGCATTTTATGGTTCTGTCCTTGATGGCAACAGAAGCCTAAATTTTGTTCAGCCCACTAAAGGTATCTGCTGTGCTGGAAAAGGGCCTGTTTATCCACACACATAGGCAGCAGACACTGAAATCAGAACCCAAACGGTGTCTTGTCAGCATATGAGGTTCAGAATCCATCTCCACTGTGAGAAGGATTGTGCTTTTCCTCCACAGGAGGAGAAAAGAAGGGGACTAAAAAAAAAAAAACCAACAAACAAGAAACCAAACAAACAGAAAAGGCAAGAGCAGAACACTGTACCAGAGCTTGAAATGACTGAAAACAGCTAAAACCAGGAAGTCCTCGCCTCAGTAAATACCACCCACAGAAGATCGTTGAGGGCTGCGAGTATCCTTAGCTTTTTGGACCTGGTCATCTAGCAACCTCTACGAAGGAGGAAGTCTTTCTTCACATGTGAACGGCGCCCATCAGTCCTGTAGGAGTTCCTTTCATGTACTTGTCCTGTCATTCCCTTCATGCCCTCCCATCAGCAAGGCTGTGGTATCTGCCAGATGGCACATGGCGGCCTTCCCAGCAGGACTTCCTCTCCTTTACAGGCAAATTGGGAATTGTCCCAATGCTATGTCTTCACAACGCTGTCTCGCCCATGCAGACACTGTAAGGGGATTTCAATTTTCTGCATCTAAAACAAACATCACATGATGTTAATCAGACCAACCTAAAACCACAGCAGTGTGAACAGAACCTAAATCAGGTGTCTGACACAGTCACCCAACTCATTTAGGCAGCCCCAATGAAAATGACTTTAGACCCAACTGGGAGATGGAAAACAGACGTAGGCTGTCAGTTCCTTGAAGATCACACCACAGATCAGCAACAGGCAAGAACACACTACCCATGCTCTCAAAATTCCACATGCCATTTCTTCCTGCCCAGTACAACTCAGATGAATGTGATGAGAAGATTGCATATCTCCCATACCTCTTTCTTACGTAGCAGTAGATGATAGCAAGTATCCCACTCGTCAGTATTCCCACACCAATTCCCACAGCAATATAGCGTTCGTAAGAATTGTGTGCATACGAATTTAGTGTTAAATGTTCGCACCTCTCACCATTATAACCTGCGAGGCACCTACAAAATAAATATACACCATGCAACATTATTCAGGACTTCTCATGCTTTGTATTGCAGAAACACGTTAGTTTTCATCAGTCTTAAACTATTTAGAACAAGCCTGAAAGAGGATGGGCTGAATCCGGTGCTCTGTCACGTCTTCATTGCATCAAGACTACCAGTTGCCCCAGTCTGTCTAGTTTAAAGCAAGCTCAAGGACTGCAGTCACAGCAGCAAACACAGTCTAAACATACCCTCATCGCAGAGGGTGTGGATGAAGAGCACTGTGCTCTGCTGATCCTTAGCTACTAGAAGATCTCCAAAGGCCAAAGCTGCCCAGAAACTTTTAAGGACATCACAATCCTTATCAGTGTGTAAGCAGTTAAAGGGAGATGCATCTGACATCTTGAAAGATCCTGCCCCCTTCGCTGTGCCCACTGTGAACATCTACTTATTTCTTTACTGTTTACTCTAGCACCAGTTGTGGTTTGAGTTGCCATCACAGCAGTGACCAACAAAGCTGTAAGTTTTCCCTCTTCCTTCCTTAGTATCACACCAGCACAGCACTACTACCTTGTCAACAGTCCTGGGCTACCAGAGCACTCAATCATGTGCCAAACTAAGCCTGCAAATACTTGACTGGCACTTGAAACTGCTGAAATTCAGTCACCTTACATTAGGAACATGTATCAGACAAAGAAACAATGCTACTGTTGTCGTTTTCTATGAAGGATACTTAGAAGATACTTATTCTTTACTTGCATATGGGTTTCCTCAACTCGCTGTGGAAAGCACAGAGCCCATTTATACAATAGCTGTGGTGTTCTTCAAGACAAGTCTGCATAAGCTTCATGAGCTTTGGTTGCTCAGTGTAGTCTGCTGTGAAAGGGAAAAAAAAATCATGTTATACTTAGGAAAAAAATAATTTTAATTCATTTTCACAACTCAAATTGAACAGATACGGCCTGCAGAAAACAGTGCATAGATTTACTGTGGTATGTCTCATGGGCAGATTCAAGCACTGCTAAGCAGAACAAGCCTCTAAGACATTACAGCATAGCTTTAGAGAAAGAGCAAACTGTACATAAATTGCTTCCTTTTGAGAAGAAAGTATAAAAATGATTCTGGGAAACTCCTCCAGGGTGACACCAGCACTATCCAACCTGGAATCCATCAGAAAAACCATCCCAGGAATATCAGGAGATTAGGACAAAATAACAGTAGGGAATTATTCTCAGTACACTTCTCAGTCTGAATTCAAATGGTTAGCTGTTTTCCCCATTGTAAGGCAAATTATTGCATTTCTAACCCTTCTGCCAGCCCACCCTGCAACTGAGCAAGTGATGACTGGCGGGATTACTCCCTCACTCTATTCTCCATGCTCTGATGTTCCTAGAGTGACCCATTATGCCTGCAGGCGCACAAGACTGCCCAGGTGGTCTTCCCATGCAAAAGCATGGTCCACAACTGTTAAATTCTGAATTTACAAGAAATAATCTGTGTCCAGGTCAGCAAGCACACTTCTGCTTTGAAAGCACAAAAAATTAGTACCTTATTCCCACCGATGGCAGCTCAAATGGGAATAAAGGTGAAGTCAAAACTGTTCTTGGACATCTTATGCCCATGTTTCATACCAAGAGAAGAACACTTGAGCCCAGGAGCACAGGGGCTTGGCATGAGGCTGTAACAGGGGTGCAGCACGTGAAGAGAAAGCACTAAAGCTTCACCATCTAAGCAAGCAGCTGTTTGAACTGGTTTCTCCACCCAGTTATTGGAATCCCTGGTGGGGTGGGGTGTCCAAGCAATGTCTTACTGTTTCAGGGGACTGTTTTAGTGATGGCTGAAGGCGATTTCCTAACAGAGTGATGTCAATACAAGCTTTCAATTCTGACCACAAGAAAAATAACATCATGCAGGAAATTGACAAGGTCTGCTCCAAGTGACTAGGCAATGCTACATCAAGCAGAAACCTTCCTTTCTGACTAAATGCTAAATCAAAGTCTGGAGATAGTGCACTGACAGAACTACTTCTATACATCTAAGCCTCTAGCCATCCTATGGGCAACTCAAGATCCCGCAACACATTTTTTTGGAGTAACCCCCAAAATTCCCCATTGGATTCCAGTTTAAATTACTTAACGGCAGGAATCCCCCCATGCCCTCAACTAAGCAATTTGTCTCTTCATCCCTTCTGCAGCTTCATCACAGAGCTGAGAAGCAATAGGAAAGAGCTACTCAGCTCTTTGCCTGCATGTTGGATTGATTCACAACTTCAGGCAGGTGCCCAAAACAGGATTCACAGGGGGCATGATGTTATCACTGTTCCTCAAATCAACAACTCTACTTTCAAAATAGTGCCCTGTGAAACCTGACAGAATCATCACGCTTCCTGCTGAGAGAACAATAACTCAAGTCTGCTTGAGAAAGGACACGGTGGTTTACTCCACTTTTCTAGCAATCAAGTGACAATACATATGCACTGAAGGGTATGCTGAGACTGAGGCTCCATCTCTATCATTCAGCAGTGAGATCTGTGCTACCACAGCCACACTGTCCCCATTTAATGAAAGCAGAATAGCGTGTCTGCTCCAGAAAGCCCTGTGCAGGGCAGGCACACCCATAGCCTTGAACCACACACCCTGCAAGGGAAGAAGTTGGCGCTGGCTACCCACAAGGTCTGCTATCAAGATCTGGCTCTTCTCTGCTGCCTCTGGAATGCTGTTGACAAGCTCTGGGGGTGGGCTTGTTGGCCCAGAGCACAGTCAGCACAGGACTAGGCCTTGGAGGGACAGATTTCAGCAAGAGAAGACAGCTTTTGTGACAAGAGATGGATGACACTAGATTCTGCCCAGGAGGACTGTACGATGCTCACTGCCAGGGAAAGCACAATGGAAAACAAAGCACAATGGGAAACAAAGCACATGGTTAACACAACTGCAGAGCTCATCCTGCCACAAGGAGATCTAGGATGCAGGAGACCTGCAAAAGCCCATTTTCACTTAGGCCTAATATACCTGCAGACAAACTACCAAAGCTCTGCAGGGAAGAGCTTCAGAAAACAGCAACAGCACATTCATGCTCCCCCTGCGACTCCTGAAATGCTTCAGTACGAACTGCTGTGAATCACCATTTCAGGACAAAAAGGGCTGAACAGCGCATTATAAAACCAGTAACCATGACCACTCATCAGCAGGACCCTTCAATATTTCCTGGCACCAAAGGTACTACTCTTCTTCCGAGTCCTGAGAACATGTCTTCCGTACAAGTTTAGTATTTCACTTGCACCTCTGCCGTATGGGGGAAAAAAAACCCGAAACAAAATGAGGAAGGTACCAACCTACATGCCAGAGGCAAGAAATCCTCAGCCACCTCCACTGTAACTTCCATCAGTTGGATTCACACTACCAGAACATCACTCCTCATCTACCCCATGGCTGCCGAAAGGTGGCAGCCTCCAACCTGCCAACGCCTGGAAGAAACCTTGCTCTGTACAGGTACATAAAGCCTCTCTCCTGAGTGCCTTTAAAGTTTGTGCTGTCATTAGAAATAAAGGTCAGCTTAGAGCAGAATCCTGCCTAGAAAGCGCTGGAGACAAACATCTTGCTGTGCAGGTGACAAACAAACAGTACATTCCTCCCTTGTTGCTTGTTGTGAGAGGCAAGAGCTTTGACCCTTGGGGGCTGCAAAATCAGATCTTAAATGCACACACTCACAAATTATAAGTGCTAATTATTTTGATATTGCAGAAGTACAAATTACCTCTGAAATAATGACGAGTCTTGAGAAGAAAAAGAATAATTTTTCTAACCCATCCCAGATCATTATGCTAACTCATATCATGTTATCCACCTGGATACTGAATAAGCTGTTGAATAAACACATCCATGTGGCCTTTCATGTCACATGAGGAAAGTAAAGCATGCTGTGTAAGCACCTGACAACTGAGTCATTCAAACAGATACACTTGGCAAGATGTGACATGAAATCAGTACTACAGGTACTTGGAAGGCTGGGCATGCCAAAACTGACAGACCTGCAACAAGCCAAGCCAAGCCACTAAGACCACGAGAGCTCAGCCTTCAACTATGGTGCATCAGGGAGTGATGGAAGAACCAGAATGGAGATGGAGAGAGGGAAAGGGTCAGTCCCATGTGCAGGGCCTCCCTCACAGCCTGTATGGGAGACCCAGATCACAGCAATGAAGGACTCTTGTTTTTCCCCAAGTAAAAGCAAGCCCTTCCCTACTCCTAGTTGCCCATTTTGCTATGAAGGCTCCCCTCCAGCCCAAACAGCATCCCAAGTTTTTATCCCTGCCATCTCAGCTCCCAGCCAGGCATTCTTTCCACTACCTTTTCTTCCCTGACTGATCACCAAGCCTGACATTTTCTAGCCCCAGCACTAGTGAAACTAAAGACTGTGTAATATAAAATAAGGAAATAGGACATGAGCTTGTAAGTAGGAGGCAAGTGGATTGAGCGGAAATTAATGGTTTTGCCCAAACTACACCTCAGGCCCCAGAGGACTTGCAATCCACAACAAACTGCCAGTTCCTCCAGTGAATTCATTTTCATAGGATCTAGTATTACTGAACCTTGGAGATAAACCTTACTAAAAACTTAACTTGCACAGGAGATACAAGAAAACTTCAGAGAGATACAGACAGTTTCTCTGGTGAGTCTTGAAGCATTTCTTTTCAACCTTCTTTTTGGAGATGGTATTTTCTAACTTTTCAGTGGCTTCGTGCAACCTCCACCAAAATATATTTTTAACTATCTGTGTAGACATGTATTTGCATGCTTGGGAGTTTGGTTCTGCTTTGAGGGGAACACACTCTCAGCTAAAAGCCCTGTTATCTAGTGGACTTGCACCGCCACAACTAGCCCAAGGGTACATGGGACTACTACAGTCATGGCTGTCTACCAGTAAAAAGCCTCTTACTTTGTTAAAACATGATCCTTGACTCCTGCTCTCTAGAAATAATACAAACAGGGTACTGCACTGCACAAGTCACAACATATTTCTACTTCATTAAATTCCTGTTTGCTGTATGCAGCTCTGGAAGTTATCATGGCATAGACAAATGCAGATCACAGGTCTGATAAATCAGACTACTGCAGTCAAAAATCTACATTACTTCACATATGTATGAGTATATATTAGACACATTTTACATACATATAGATGAAACCCACACATAGAGTGTATGTATGAATGTATATTGCTGCACTATAACAAATTAGACAACCCCCCCGCAACAGTTTGACTTGTTATGAGAAAAATAAGCAGCTTAAGGATCTACTAAAAGAAGCTTGCAAGACATCCTGTGCTGACTTACAATTAACAGATGATGATTTGTATGCAAGTTTATGTTCTTTTTAAAGAACAAAGACATTATGTCTCACAGTTCAAATCCTTTCCTCCTTTACTGACCTGCCAAAACCTCACTTCCAGATTGCACAGTTCTCCCAAAGAAATGACATCCCTACTACCTCAAATCACATTCAGAAAGCAGCTCGCAGGATGAACACAGTGCTCTGGTCTCAGGTGTTGGCAAGGAAACAGCTGGAGTTCACATTTCAGTCAGAAAAGAAAAAGAGAGAGCTAACACTCTGAAAAGGGCTGGAGAAGCTGCAACAGCCAGCAGCAAAACTGCAGCAGAGAAAGAAACTACTGAGTAACAGTAATGAGAGGCATGACTGGAAGTGACGCTTGCTGCATTCTCACTGTGTGTATGAAGGTTCACATTGAAGACAGCTAGAAACCAAGCCCTGGTTACACAAGTAACAGAAACAGCCATCAGAAATGCAGACCATCTATCCCAATTTGCCTTAAAATTTCTGCTTCAAATTATAACTGGCTGTGGATAAAGAATCCTTCAACTGGGCAACACTAAGCCTACCCCAGCTGAGGAGCACCTCTTACCTGAGAGACGGTTTTAAGGCTCCACGAACAGCAGCTTATCTCACAAATAAAGCACACAAAAATTTCAACAGTGTCCAAGTGACACTTTTTTAAAATGACAGGTTAATAAAGACAATCAAAACAAGAAAGGAGTACCTTCAGCATTGTTTTTTGTCCAGTTATTCCATAAGTCCGTGCTAAGGGATGAAACAGTAAGAGCTGACTCTTCACTCAGTGCCCCCATTGCTGTGTAATGCAAATAGATGCTTACTGTAACAGAAAAACTCAGTATATTTATTCAAGGCTCACATTATCCACAAAACATGTACCCACTTACTACACTTCTGATACCATGCAGTGATGCAACAACCATTAATTTCAAACATTCTTGCCTCAAACTGCCCTTTGCCACAGAGAAATTATGATTGGGGGGAAACTAACTATTGTTTGTGAATTTCCAAAACACACATCCATTCTGTTCTCCACTCTATTACCTTATGCAATTTAGAACACAGATAAATGCAATATACTACAATGTTACACCTATTTACCAGGAGCTTTTCATGAGGTCTGCATTATACCCTATGAGTTTAAGTTTCATTCAAGTTTAAAGCCACTTAAGTAATTCTGCTTTGCAATGCCTTAGCATGCTTCCCACCCCTGCCGCTTATTTCAGAAGGAGCCAAGTGCTGTTCAACAAAGCTGTGCACTTTATTACACACAAGAACATACCTTTCAGCAAAATATAGATGAGCATTCCAAATGCCATGGCACACAGCTGCTTGAAGCACCTTCTCAGTTCCTCAGTCCAGGCAGCTCACTCGGCTTATCTGGGCTCCCGTGTTTTCTCTCACGCTTATATGCCACGAAGCGTCATCTGCTGCTCTCACCAATCAAGAAAAAGTGCATCTGGCAACAACTGCAGCCCCTGGGGCAACCACACATTTATTTAGGAAACTGCTATTATCTAGCAATGGAATCAGGTTTTCTTTTGAAACCCTGGTTTCCTATTACCCATGGGCATCATTGTGCATGCAAAGGTACAGTTTTCAAGACAGATGTGGTATCTGTCAGAGCAGATCAATGAAATACAGCAAAACAGAGGTGAGTAAAATGAAGAATGACGTATTGTGGAAGACGTGATCTTTCTTTCCCATAGAAATGCAATCTTGTGTTACTTCCAGGAGGACAGTCAGCATTCAGGATGCTACTCCAGGGCTCAGGGTCTGAGGACCATCCCCTGTTTTGCTTGTGTTCCTTCGCTGGTCCTCTGTGCACTGCATCCAGAAGAGGAACCATGAGAACAGCTACTGCCGATGTTATAAAGTGATAAGGCACAGAGATAATGGATGATGTTCTCCACTGGTGACTGCAGCGAGAAGCCTTTGCTGACAGGCTCTGGGGAGTCTATGGGGCATGCTTGACGGCTCCTCAGCCAGCCTTCCCTGTACACAACCTTCTGAAGCAGCGAAAGCCACCAGCCCTGCACCAGGCATGTGACACTGGCTGAAGCTCCGTGCAGTTGTGTGGAGCAGAAACAAAGCTGATGAAGCACAGGCATAGAGAAGACAGGCAGAAAGGGCAAGTAAGCTGTGGTCTCCTGTAACAGGAGAACCCTTCATTACTCCTGCCACTACACTGCTATAAATGCCCATCTCCATCTTTTCAAAGAAGTAGGTATGCATAATGGGAACTATCATACTTTTTACATGAAGTGTTTGCAGGTTTCTAAGACATATCTGTCACACTCATTTCTCACACTAAATGTCACTCCACAGGTCCAAATGCTGTTCAGCTTCCTTGGGCACAGGCAGCTGGGAACTAGTAGGACTAGTTGGATCTCCAGAGGCAGAGCCAAACATACTAGAACCAGAAGCAGTGCCTGGTTCAATAAGGCACAGACACAGCAACATCCTGACTCTGACTGAAGTAGAGCTACACACTTCACACCAGCAACAGCTTCTGCAACTATGAGCTCCAAACAACAAAACCATTTCATATTTTTTTTGTATTTTACAGCCAAAAATCTCCTGACAAACTCCAGTAACTCTAGCCCGCTCAAATTCTCCCTCTATGCTCCACTCCCGAGGGATCTGCTGGATTCAACCTAACCACTTCACATGTTAAGGGAAAAAACACAAGCCAGTTCTGCACATTTTAATTATACCTTCTCCTGCTCATGGACTGCATTCCACAAGGCTTTTCCCCTCCTTTGCTATCCTGAATTGCTGCATGCCTGCACACTGATGGAGTACAGCCTGCACACAGGAGTGTTTCTGCCTACCTGGATAACCTCTGCTATCAGTCCCAAGCAGGAATAAGGCTCACGAGTCCTGCTTTCAACACACATCTACACAACAGGAGCTTAATCCAATGTGAATCCATGAGGTGGCTTTGGCATTAGGCAATAGACCTGGGTGCGGTAGGCCCATAAGAAGGCTCCAGTGGATAAGGCTGGGTCCCTGTCCACCACAGGGCATTCATACTTGGACCAGGCTTGACCCAGCCTGGCACATGAGCATGCTTTTCAGGGTGGTTGCTCCTTCTCGATGTTCTCCCAGTGGAGAATGCTCTCATAGATGTTTCTGGCCGCTCTGAACATAGCATGCTGCAGATCAACACCTCAGTCTCACTAGCTTTTGTGTAATGCTAACCCATCCACAGAGGTGAGAAAATAAAAAGCTTTAGATGCACAATAAACTGCTTGCAAAGCATGAAAGAAGCAGACTTGCCCAACTGAGATAAACAAAATGCCATAAATTGTTATTCTGCCAAAAAAAAAGCAGAGATGATTAGAGTTTAATCCAAGAAAAGAAACACTGATCTAGAACAGCAAGGTAAACAGATGAAAAATCTCATGACTGAACATGCAGAACACATCCATTAGCTCCACTCCTAACTCACTGATACAAGGGAAAAAAAACCCACAGTCAACCCCAAAAACACATCAAAATTTCTCACCAAGACTAATGTAAGAGTAAACAAATTTTATTCCATCTCAACCAACGTTGGGTTGATCAGTCTGAGTCTTATCCCCACAAGCACCTTGATCCTCCTATGAGTTGTACTGCTCAAATTTAAACGGATAAGCAAGTTCCTGCACTCTTGGCACTACACCTTTAGCAGTGATTCTGGCAGCCTCTTTGCTAAATGCTGCACGCAACAGAACTCTTGGGAAGTTCATCACAAAAATCATCAGCACAGAAGTGATGTTCCATCTTCATTCTTTTATTACAATAAGAGCATTTATTTTGTTTAAAGCAGGAGTATTTTGCCACACCCTCCCTTTTCAAGTTGTCTAGAGTCTACTGGCAAACACCTAAAGCTCTTGATAAATCAAAGCCATCCCAACTGAGATAAAAACACCAAGATAAAAGTCCAAAGTGGCTCCAATGAGAACTGGGGTAGGCTCTTCACACAGTTCAAGCGACACCTTCACAGCCACTCCATTCCAACTTCCACATTGCATGAGACTAGTCTAGAGCCATCTTGGAACTAAAATTTCTGGCAACAGAAAAGTACTGATCTTAGTATCCCATCTAGCCTTCTCTAAGCAGTAAAACACTGTAGCCAAAGATTCACAGAGCTGAGCCTTATACCATGGACTAAAACCAGCCCTTCACGCAGTTTCAGAAACCAAGAGAACAATTAAATGGCTTAAAATTCCAACACAAATATTTCATTAGGGATAAACTCTTGCTTTTTTCTTCTTCTTCTTCCCCACCCCGTTACATATATAATATACATACATGGTGGTTTAAACTATGATTTGCCTAACTGAAGTCTGATCCAGCCCAGCCAACTATTCAGCTTCTTGTGAAGAGTGAGGGTGTTATGCACCAAAACATTTAGTTAAACAAATCCAGATATGGAAAGAAAATAATGCTGGCCTCCATTCTAGCTCCTCATTCATGCATACCTCATGCAAACATTCAAGAGCACAATTTCACCAGTGTTCAGGTTCACCTGACTGTTTTAAAACAGGTATTGAAGTTTTGCAGTCATGTCAATGTTACCGCTAAGCAGCTGAAAAAAAAAGTTCAGCCTTTCACTCCTTTCAGATTCAAGATTTCTGCTGCTATCTCTTAAGTGTTTAAAAAAAAAAAGAATTTTAAGAGTACAAACTACACCCAGTATGCGTCATGCCCTCAGAACCCAAATCATATTTTTAAAACCTATCTAGTATGTCGAAAGTAAGTTTTCATGCTGTTAGATCAAGACTGCGGTTCCAGGTGCTTACAAGACTTTGGTACTTGCACCCCACCCCCAAACACACAGGTACGTTTGTAATTCATGCTGCTGCTTTATTTTCACACAGGTAATAGACCATCACCACCAGATTTGCATAGGCTGCATTCTCCCTTTTAGCTTTTAGTCAGTAGGAGGTTACACAAAGTATTTGAACATCTTGTAAACCATTTGGTTTAGCATGCTTTACATGAAAAAATAAATACAATGTAGAAATAAATATCTTTGTAGTAAAAAATAAACATTTTGTGTATCAATAAATAGAACAACTTGGATTCTTCTTCCAAAGGAGCCCACTTGCTCTAGTAAATGAGCTTTTTGGCAACTATGAGTGTGTTCTTCAGGAGCATTGCAACAGTCATAGGTCCTACCCCTCCCGGCACTGGAGTGATAAAGGCAGCCTTCTTCTTCACTTCTAAGAGAAAAGAGAAACAGATATTAACTAAAAGAGTTTCAAATCTCTTTTGTTCCTTCAGTTGTCCACAAGCACTTAACTGGCAACAAGCACCAAGGACTGTGACTTGGAAAATGTTGGAGAATATGGGACAAGTGTACAAGAATATGGGACAAGTGTAAAACAGACAAGTTTTAATCACTGAGTTCTTACAGCCAGGGTAGTAACAGGACACTATCAGAACTGGGCTGCAAGGTCGTCTTCTTCATCTGAACATTATTACCCAGGGCTAGTTCTGGGCAATGCTTTCACAACCCATTTGAGCTGATCTATCTGCAGCAGGCTGCCCTTTCCTCCTGAGAGCCTGTGCCCAGACAGATAGAAAATAAACCCCACCCAATTTTTTGGTAAGGGGCAGTTTGTGACTACTGTTTGACCAGACTGACCAGCTGGCCCAAGAAGGCTGGGTGACAGAAGACAGGACAACCCCAGGAGGGCAGCAAGGACTTGTACAACCTCCATATGCCAGCTGGGATACTGCACCTTCAATATCCAGGAGAGCTATGGAAGGTAGGGACCTGATCCTGTAGGTAAAGAGGTGCCTCCCCACACTGTGTGTGCTGCTAAGGAGCAGCATGCAGAGCAGGAGTCTGCTCTATCAGAGCCAACAGCACAGCACCAGCACCAGTTAAGTCACCTAACAGCCCCTTTTGCCTCCCCTTGCTTGCACTTTCTATCAAAGACATTCCATGATCACAAAAGGGAACTTAAACCACAGAGGAAGAAAGTAGTTTCCTGGTTCATTTGCTTGTCTGTTTCACACTATGGACAGAGAACAAAATCAAGAGTTGTCTGCAAGAGAAATACAGATCCTAATGGCAAAACTCCCACTGTGACTTCAGGCACAAACGCTCAGCTCCTCCAGAGAAGACTTGGGGTTTTTAACCAGTGTTACTAGGGTGCCTATACTGAACTGGGATTCAGAAATGCAGATCTCCCCCAAGTCTCCAACAGAAAGAAACTCAAGAGCTGAATTTGCTCTAATAACAAACATGTCAGACTATCCAAAGTCAGTAAACACCTTGAATGCTTGTGTTAAGAGGTAAATCCATGCAGATTATTTACTTAGCACCTGTGAAGTTAACCTCTTTGGACGAGGAATTAATATAATGCAGCAAACAATCCTGACTTGATATTCTTATCTACTGCACAAAACGCAATCAGGTGGAATTGCAGGTTACTTGCATAGAAATTAGATGCAACTGGCTGGGAATTCAGCACATAACTAATGAGCACTTATTTGCTAATAATGGTTACTCCAAATAGAATATTATTAACCTGGTTACTACAGAGGGTTTTTTTCAAGTGCCATGGTGAGAGGTTTTTTCTGCTTGTTAGCTTTTTTTTTTTTTCCCCTTGCTTATGAATAATTTCATGGCAACACACAAACCACTTTTAAAAAACACTGTATTTGAAAAGGCACACACACACCCACCCATGAGAACACTGAGCAAGCACAACTCTGACACAAGCACATACACTTCCACTGAAGTCACTACAAAGCAGAACCTACTACACCTGGCCATGAGAAGAGCTCCATGGATGGAAAACTAGGCACCTGGGTTTTGGAACTAAGACAATAATTTGCTCCTGCTTTAAGTGCATTCATCCTGAATTGTATGTGGCACTTTAGTGTAGAGAATCATATTATGGTTTGGTTTGGAAAGGACCTTAACATCATTCAGTTCCAACCCCCTGCCATGGACAGGGACGCCTCATGCTTGTCCAGGCTGAACAGCCTCAATTTTCTCAGCCTGTCAATAATATAACAACATCTCAAAAAAATAGTATTACAAGAGAATTTGAAAAGCTGGATATAATTTTTTTTGGACAGAAACGTTTTAGGGAAGTTAACAGTGATTATCTCACTGAACTTGGGCACAAAAAGATTAAGCCTCATTGAGGACAAATGGTAATTACACCTAGAAGGGTTTTAATTATGGAGCTGACTGATACCACCAGATATAGCGTGAAAATACTTGGAAATTTCGGTCAACAAATTGTTATGTGGTTCTTTTCACATGTAAACTGTAACAAATGAATTCAGCTCTCCTATGAGTCATCCTTACTATTCTCTGAAACCAATAATTTGTCTTTTTAATAGTTACATTATTTTGTACTACCTTCCATATGAGCCTGCTGCTTTTGGTTAGCACAGTTACTCCAAATCCCCAGATTCAGGTCCTAATTATTGAAATTTACCCACATCTGAAGTAAACACAGTAATTAACAAAAAAAAATCTGGGGCATTTCAAATTGAAATGTTTGTTTCTATGGCAATGTTACATACTGCTTTTTGTGGTGTTATCCAAACTATTCCTATCTGACTTACAAAGTGGAACAATCCACAACCCGATGGTGCCTTCTAATGAGTATCTTGTACAACATTCATCGCCTCTAGTGTTAGTAACCGTACTCCGTGGTAAACACACAGTGCTATGGTCACAAGTTGCCGGGGAATCTCTCTGCCCACACTCTCTCATTATGAAAATCCCTGTGGGTCAGTGTGGCAGAAGACATGTTTTGTATCAGTTAGCAGAAAACCACCTGGACAGCTTATTCCCAAAAGCTGATTCAGGTATTTCAATACACAAAGAGGTGTCTTGTGTTGGGGAAACTACCATCTGATAAGCTGCCATTGGTAAGAGCAAATATAGATACGGTGAGTGCAATTTTCCAAGCTGAACGCCAGCGATCAAGAGGGAAAAATAACTTGGCCCTCAAAAATGTGACTAGATTTTGTTTTCCTCATCAAGCGTAGCACAGTTCCCAGGCGTGACAGATCTCCTGTCAGTTCATTCAGAAGGTCATGTTCCTGCTTCTCAGCAATGGTCGAACTTTATCCCCAGGTTTAACTCTCCATTCTGGAGCTGCCTGTCCTTGTCCCAGGTATTTCTCTGCCCATGTGGAAAATCTTGGCATGCAAATCTGGTGCCTCTGGGGGCGGAGCTGCTGTTTTGCAGCTTCTGTAGAACCTTAAAATCTTCCTTTGATTCTTCACAAGAAATGAAATGTAGATTGTTTCCTTGAAAAACAGGATCCACTGCTTTGGAAACAGCCCTTCATTCCTAGGTTCCTTTAAAGCTAAGGACATCAGACACCTAACAGGGTTAATCACACAAACCAAGGGCAAGTCTCAACCTGAAGGCAGTTCTGGGTCTTGTGCATCTGCATTAAGCGATGCAGAGCAATTCCTGCCTAAGCACTGTTTCCACACAGCTTTATTAGCCCCTGTAAAGCTACTCTGGATTGCTGCATCCCTGCATAAGTGCAAAATCATGTGCTCAGCAATCACAGTAGATACCCCATGTTCTGCTCTTCACATTCTCGGATTCTTCTCACTGCACACCACAGGATGCCAAATGGCTGGATCTACACTTCACATCAGTGTGTTCTTTTTC